TCAAAAAAAAAAAAAAAAAAAAAAATCCTGGGACGTTTTTTGGCTCGTCTGGTTTTGCCAGATGGACCCCCCCCCCTTCCGTCTGGCCCGGTCCGTCTGGACCGGGCGTCGGCCTAACCCAGTTAAACAGCACATTGCAGGAGCTCTTTGTAGGTGATTCTCAAAATTGTAACGAGTGTTTCGTCGAGGGAGGTAATCTGAATGAGGTCCTCCTTACAGCACTGCAATAGTGGCTGAGAGTGTGGTGTGCATGAAAGCGCCACAACCGCCAGTTGATAAGCCTTAGTAAACCGGTGCTGGCATACAGAAGCAACAGGCTGAGATCTGGAGGAATGTCGATCACATAGAAGGGTCCATTCTGAACTCCGACTACTTTGACAACTTCCCAGGAACAATATAGACTGGTAAGAAATTTCCTGAGACATTTTTCGGAAGAGGACTTTTTTCAGGCCAGAGTTTCCTTCAATATATGTGGATGTGTGTTTTTGTGGTCATCTGCATTCCTGTGGTCCTCTTCTTACGCCTGGCAAGGTTCATGTGCTCTCGTGTGTGTGTTTGTCAAAAAAGAAGCAAACTCTCTCTCTCTCATTCCATCCACAAACCATCACGGACCATCCATAAAATGAAAAAGAGTATAGGTGGCAATATAATAGAAGATGCACGGTTTCCCACGTTTGTGTGGTTGAGCGGAAAGTGCCCACACACCCGTCTGTGTGTGTTTGTGCATGTACACGTGTACTATCAAATCCTTGCCTTGGTTCAAATGAACTCGATCCCCATATGAGCTGGAGACTGGACAAGTCAGATTTTTGCCACAGAAGCGGAGAGAAGAGAACACTGGAAAGACCACAAACCTTTGTTCCTTGCTCACACATGAAACGACGAGGGCCCAGGGCATCACCGTTCCGCCCCATGATGGCCCCATCAAATGACTGCATGGGCTCAGTGGGTTGAACGACGACGGTGTGGCCTTCCCCGACTTTTTTGCCGCCCTCCCACCCAGCGCAAGCCAGACACCCTGCACAACATGGATAGTTCAACTCTCCTCTTTTTGCCTCCAGCCACCTAAGGTCTGCTGGAGATTATGTTCAGCGAATATGCACCGCCATCATATCCCTTCATCGGAGGAGGGTTCTAGTGGAGGTCGATCAATGTTCAGAGAATTCTCGCACATAGCAATTTGTGTCCTTATTTATTGGGAGGGGCTTCAACAGAACAGGGATCAGAGTTCAGAGAATTCTTGCGCTTGCATTACAGATCGACTGCTCATTGGCCACGGAGATGGCCTTGTATGCTTTCTGTGAAAATGTGTCTCTTCCTTTTGCCTTCCTTTTGCCTCAGGCAACCTAAGGCTACGAAAGATTATGTTCAGCACATACGACCCATCCTCGTGTTCTCCATAGCTTCTAGTAAAGATGGCTGAGAGTCGAGAGAATTCTTTTGCTTGCATTGCCTAGTTTAGGTTTAGCATAGATTGGCTGTGCTGGCCAGTAGCGAGTTTATTTTGTGTCTTTATTTATCGGAGGGGCTTCAAGAGATGATAGATCAGAGTCAATAGAATCCTTGCGTTCGCATTACGGATCGACTGCTAATGACCAAGGAGAGGACAGACTGAAACCAGCGAACTGCTGTCAACTGGAGACCTGTTCGTCATGTGCCCCGCTGCAGAAGAAAGTTGCCTTGGCATGTTTCAAATGTGTTGCTCAATGGTTACCACCAAAAGAAGTGTGCCGTCACTCCCAACAAATGACAATTAAACGAGCTCGTGGTACACCACGATTAAACGAGGCCGTGGTAAGCCACGAAAGAAAATTGGATCCCGCATATGGATTCAATCAACCAAAGAAAAATCAAAGCCAGGATGCAGAACAGAAACGCGCTTTTTATGCACTCCTCCCACGAGCGAGCGACCGAGCAACCGAGAGAGAGAGAGAGAGAGAGAGAGAGAGAGAGAGAGAGAGAGAGAGAGAGAGAGAGAGTGTGTTACTAGTGAATACATTCACCAAGTATGGGCAGAACC